ATGACCTGAGCTGAAGGCAGAGGCTTAACCCACTGAGCCACCCAGGTGCCCCTGAAGGTAGATTCTTAACCGACTGAGCCCCCCAGGTGCCCCAGAGCATTGAGTCTTAAAACTCCAAGCAATCCTTTTCTCCATGGGTTCCACTTGATGACAGCTTCACCTTCTCACCTGAGATCTGCTGCTTGGTGTCAGGGATCCCGTTGAAGGCAGGTGCTAACCTGAGCAGCACAAACTCTGTAGTTCAGTGCTCTCAGCTACTCCTTTTCTCCTCCCCGCCACAGCACCATGTTCACACCAAGTCACGATTCCCACAGCTCGCTCCAACCGGTGCCTGAGTGTGGCAGAGGACCCGAGACAGGCCCGTCTCTGTGAAATGAAGATGAGGCTATAAACAGGCCTGGCACATAGAAGCACTAAGGCAGTGTAAGCCGGTGGAGATTGTACTAGTAACAGCACTAGTAGTTCCTCCAGTTCTACAACCTACAGTGTATAGCCGATCCCAATGAATGCTGACAAAGAGAGCTTGACAGGAGGAGAAATATCCTGTAATTTAGGAGTGAGGACAGAGTAAGGAGTGGAACAGGCCAAAAGACATCCTAAATCGCTGTGGCAAAGGGTCAGATGCAGGCAGAAGGGCATTCTTAAGGCAATATATTCTCTCACCTCCCCCACTAACGCAGAGGCAGAAATTTATTCTCTCACAGTTCCCGAAGCCAGAAGTCTGAAGTCAAGGCATTGGCAGCACCATGCTCCTTCTGAAACCTGTTGGGGAAAACTCTTTCCTTGCCTCTTCCTAGCTTCCAGTGGTTTGCCAGCGATTTTGGGCATTCTTTGACTTGCAGTTTCCTAACTCCAATCTCTGTCTTCATCACATGTCATTTCCCTGTCTTCACATGGCTGTCGTCTTATAAGGACACCAGTCATATAGGGTTAGGGAGCCACCCTACTTCACTGCTTACACCTGCAATGACCCTATTTCCTAATAAGTTCACATTCCAAGCTACCGGCCATTAGGACTTCTTTTTTGGGGGCCACAATTCAATCCATAACACCAAGTAATTAGGTCAGAGCTGGTGTAAGAATCCAGATAGACTCATAAGTAAGAGCGTGTCATGTGGAGCCCTCTACAAGTGTGTATTCCTGTAACGAATGATGCCAGTTGTGTAGGGTATTGACTCTAAAGTTTTACTTTAGTCTTTCCTTTTAGGTAGAGTGCAGTTTTGAGATTTATATCTTATTATCGTACTTGTGGTTGACCCAGTTTTATTTTTTTAGACAGCTTTATTTTATTCTTTTTTTTTAAATTTATTTATTTGAGAGAGAGCACAAGTAGGGGAGTGGCAGAGGGAGAGGGACAAGCAGACTCCCCGCTGGGTTTGATCCCAAGACTCCAAGATCACGATCTGATGCTTAACTGAATGAGCCACCCAGGTATTCCTCTGGTTTTATTTTTCTTTACATTGCCTCAGCCGTTCTTTAGTTGATTTTTATAGAATTAAAAAGAATAATTTTGCATTTTCAGGGGTGAGTAAAAATATCTTGCACACAAAGCTCAGTTTAGAGAAGTGCCCCCCCAAGTCTTTTATTTCATAAATGCCTAAACAACACTTAAAGAATCTAAGTCTACATTCCCTTCCTTGGTTTATGTGGGGAGAGGAAAAGAGCTATATTAGATTTTGATTAAGGACCCATTTATATTAGTTACTGGTTGGATTATTCTGGGGACTTTAGAGTCTCTCCCTGGGTTTGTAATATGATAAAGGGCAAGACCCTCATATAAATCTCCTTTCAGGGCAATTAACCACTAAGTAAAGGCTCAGTAAACATATTCAAACTAAATGTAATGCAAATTTATCAAGGGAGGTACAGAATCTACTCCCTCACAGTGAAGAGTCTCGCCAGTGGGGAGAGGAATCCAAATGGGGATAGGATTTGTGGTGGTCGTGTAAGGGGGACAACTCTGAGAAGACACAGGAGTGGGCAAGGGTATTAGTTTTTCTTTTTTAAAAGATCTTATTTATTTATTTATTTGAGAGAAAGAGAAAGAGATCACAGAAGGAGAGGGAAAAGCACATTCCCCGCTGAGCAGGGAGCCCAACTCGGGGATCCCCGAGATCATGACCCGAGCTGAAGGCTGACACTTGAAGGACCGAGCCACCCAGGCACCCCAGTCAATTTTTTTTTTCTTGTGTCATAAACCACCTCAAAACTCAGTGGCTTAAAACATTTTTTTCCCTGCTTCTGTGTCTGGTGGGTTTTTGATTGATTGGAGGGGGGGAAGGGACTCTACCTTAGGAGCCAGGATTTGGACTGGGTTCAAGTCTGTTCCACATGTTTCATTCTGAGGCCCAGCTTGTGGGGAGGGTGTTGGGAACGGTGAATACCTGAGGCGTGATTGCGGGGATATCACAGGAACACAAGAGGCCAAAGGAAGCCATGCAGCCACATTTTCTGTTTCTATTTGTGTCACATATGCTAACATTCCACTGGCAAAGCAAACCACATGTCCAAGTTCAACATCTATGTGTAGGGGATCTGTCCATTGTAGTGCTCCGGAAGATCCATGACGGGGGTTGGGGCGGGTAAGAAGCAGGGAATAATAACTCCCTCTTGGATGGTTCTGAGAATCCACCTTGCTGTCTCCGGGAGAGTGGAGGTGCAGAGAACTTCCTCCAGAAAAACTGGGGGAGAATTAGAATTAGCCCTGATAAAGAGCTGTGTGCTCCTGGTGCCAGAATACAAGCTGGCCTCTATTTCCTTGTTACTTACCCCGCTGTCCCTCCACTGCTTTCTTCTCCTACCTGGGAACCTTCAACTGGAGCTAAGCCATGGTGATGGCAACCAGATGAGAGGGATCCGGCCAGCTGCTGGAGCAGCAGCCGCAGGAGAGTGGGATCCCGTCGGAGAGCTAGCTGCCTGGACGCTGGTGGCTGCAGGAACAGCAAGGCAGTATAGCGGCCATCAGTGTCTTTCTATAACACACAGAGTGCTCAGTGGTGATCTGGTTTCTGAAAGTCCTCTGTCAGCTGTGTAAACTTACTGTATCAGGAGGTTAAGGGGGAAACTTTTTTGTTTAGGTTCTGCTGAGGCTTCAAGGCAATAGAGATCACATTTCAGAATGAAATGCAAGACCACAATTATTTAAAAAGTAGATTGGGATCACCTGGGTGGCTCAGTGGGTTAAAACCTCTGCCTTCGGCTCAGGTCATGGTCTCACGGTTCTGGGATTGAGCCCCACATCGGGCTCTCTGCTCAGCGGGGAGCCTGCTTCCCCCTCTCTTTCTGCCTGCCTCTCTGCCTACTTGTGATCTCTCTCTCTGTCAAATAAATAAATAAAAATCTTTAAAAAACAAAAAAAGGAGATTGTGGAGAATATATTTTGCATCTTTAGTTAATCTTCTGCTCGTCGGTCTATAAAACATGCTGGAGATGCCAAGAAAAGAGCCAGAGAGAGGAGGGGGAATTCCTTGGACAGCGTTGGTGTGGTCTCATTTCCTAATGGTGACCAGGAAAGTCATGCCTGAGTTTTTAATCCAGAGGTAGAAGAACATACCCCACAGAATAAATTTAAAGGGATGGTGGGAGACAAAAGTACTGTTATCTGGAAACATTTACACCATAGGAATGTGATTATGATTTACTTTATTAAATGAATTATTAATTACTGGGGCAGAAACTACTAGTTGTCCATCCAAATCCATTTGCCCCTTTTCCGGTAATACTAGCATTGTTACCAGGACCTGGGGTGCCCGGCTGGTACCATATCTCCCAGGCCCCCTTGCAGCTAGGAATGGCTTGCGATTAAATTCTGTCTCTGGAGTATTAATGGAAGTGTGTCTCTTCCAGGCCTGGACCTTAAAACATTGCATGTGTGTTTCTCCAAACTTACTTCCCTTCATGCAGTTAAGATTTTCTTTCTTTATTTGAGAGAGAGAAACCACAAGCAGGGAGTGGGACAGAGGGAGAAGCAGGCTCCCCGCTGAGCAGAGAACATGATGCGGGGCTTGGTTGCAGGACCCCGGGATCATGATTTGAGCCCAAGGCAGACGTTTAACCCCGACTGAGCCATTCAGGAGCCCTACATGCCCCAATTTAGAGCAAGGAGTGCTTCCAAGCTAACATTGTCCATGTAGGACAACACCTTAGGGCAGTGCCTCTCAGTTTCTTTTTTAATGCATAAGAATCACTTGGAGAGCTCATGAAAACAGAAATTAAAGCAAGGATTCAGTAGGTCTGCAATAGCCCAAAAATTTGCATTTCTTTTTTTTTTTAATTAATTTATTTGACAGAGAGAACAGAAGCAAGGGGAAGTGGGAGAGGGAGAAGCAGACTTCCTGCTGAGCAGGGAGCCTGATGCGGGGCTCAATCCCAGGACCTTGAGATCATGACCTGAGCCAAAGGCAGGCGCCTGATGACTAAGCCGCCCAGGAGCCCCAATAATTTGCATTTCTAACAAGTATCCTGTTGTTGGTGGTGCTGCTAGTCTGTGGACCAGGCTTTTAGTAGTAATGCTTTAGTGGATGATAGAGATGCACGATGGAAAGAATCTGAATTTCTGAATGTCTGTGTGGGACAAAGGAGCCTGTCTACCCACCGTGGACTGCTTTGTGAGAACACCATATTTCGGGGACTCTGTTGTGGCAGCTTAGTTATTTACCCCAGCCAACATAATCATCCTGATTCTGCCTGCCCTTCTCTATGTCCAAACCACATCTCTCCCACAGTTCTCTTCTCTTGTATCTTGCACTCCCCTTCCTGGTGATGGAGAATAATATTAGCCACTGTTATAAATGAATTTCATAAGAGCTCACATCTGGAATGCTGTATTCATTTGTCAATTTCAGCCTCCAGCAGTTTTCAGTAAAGGATTTCCCTTATCTTTCCAGAGGAGATGGGGGAACTTTGGGGATGGGCTTGGAGGGAACAGGACCTCCAGCTGTCTATAGCAGGAAGCAAGTCTCCGTCATAACCCAGCCCTTAAACACGATACTTGAGACAGCTGAAATTGAGTAACTTTTATTTTGGAGGCAGAGAGCAGGGGAAATTCAGAGCTTCCAAGAACCTTGAAGAACTACCTTGCCTCCAGGGCCACCTTCTCCGGGAGCCATATTCCATGGCCATCTTACAGCTTACAGCTGGCCAGGTATTTGGACAAATCCTTGCCCTTGCAGTGTTTTACCCAGGCCATCCTAAGAACAGAGAAACACAGCATAAATCCGAGGCAGGGGCAGGAGTCTAAAGGGGCTCAGCTGAGAGGGAATGTAGGGTCTGCTGGCTGCAGTCTGTTGATGCTGTGGGAGAGTCTCAGATAGACAGGGTTTGCCTGACTGGGGACCTGGGAGTCGTTGCTGCCAGGATGCTTGGGGTGAGCATGGCACCATATTACTCTGCCTCCCTTTATGTCTGGAGAACAAGCTCTGCTCCCTACAAAGCCCAGGGAGAATCCTACAGCAGAGATGCTGCTGATTCTACCAGCATCTCAAATACTGATTGGGTCCATGTCTGGCAGAGGGGCTGGTCTCTGCACTTCATGCTCTGCTTACCAGGCGGACATCCCCTTAGGATCTCTCACAACCCTCTTGGCACAGACAATGTCATCATTGATGTTGTCATCCAGAAACTCTGAAAGGAAAAGGGGCTGAGTGGGGAGGGAAAAATCCCTTTTCCTTTTTCATTAATCAATCCTTTTTTTTTTTTTTTTTTTTTTTTTTTTCCTGCGGGGGAATTTCCCGAGGAAACGGAGCCTGACTCAGAAACCGTCTATCTCTGGAGCCCTCTTGGGGGTTTGCCTTCCATGTGCCTGGGTTTTCTTGCCTTACTTTGAATCTGCCTCTGAGCATGGCTGTCTGCGGAGGGCATCCAGGACCGAATGGACAAGGGAGAGTCTCTGTTCTCAGGAGACTACTTAGCATGTCCAGAGTGCCACGTAGGGGTGTGTAGACAAGGACGGAATAACGTGGCTTGAGGGATGGGGACCCATGAAGGTGAAGTTCAGTCAGAGGTCAGTGTGTCTTGCTTCCTCCTTTTTGGCAGGAGGGGCTCTGTGGAATCCTGTTTTAGATGAGAGGACGGTCCGGGGCCCCCTTATTCCCTGTCCTGGGTTTCTATAGCGCAGGGAGGAGGGTGTTCAATTTTGTACCTTCTTTACCTGCCCTACTTTATTTACCCAGCCCTCAGAGGGGGTCGTCCTTACTGCTGCACATGATGTTGCAGGCATTTGCTGAGGAATGATGGCTGTTTTTGCACCACCACTTGCTGTCCAGCTGGAAGAGCCCATAGTCACTACTGCCATTGGCATTTTTCCCATTAAAGGCCCGGGTGTTGAAGTTACTCTCATATTGAGCCATGCAGACCCCTGTGTCAGAGAGAGCAAAAGGTGTGTGTAGACAAGGGGGATTGTTTCACAACGAGACACAACTCGTGCTATACTAGAACTGCTGGAAAGTCCCTTGAGACGGAAACGAAGACTATGAGATTGATGATCCATTGTGTGTTCCTTGTCCCAAGCAATAATTAGCCTGTGGTAAGTGTGTAATCACAATTGTTAAATAAATGCATTTGGAATGGCCAATAATCCATCAGTCGCCATCTCTCTCCCAAGTCTACCTTTCCAGCCTCATCTCCCAGCTGAATAGCCAACTCCTGCCTTGTATATTCATGTAGCCTTATATCCCAAAGTATATGGAAGAGAGGAGTTGGAGAAGTAATGGAGGAGGATCCTAGAAAGGAAGCCCCAAAAAGCCATCCTTGTGGGGTTGGTGACAAGAAAGTATATTTGGCATGAAGAAAAATGAAGATATTCAAAGGAACCTGAAATAGCTTCATGTGTTCTTACTAATGAGACGGTGACAGAGACTCTTGGTCCTTCTTGCTCCTTGTCACTCTCCGCCTCGCCTTCTGTTCTCACAGTCCCCATCCAACTCCCTTGTGACATGGATAGAACAAACTTGAGACAAAGGCAGCAGATGTAGGTTATTTTTTGGTGGACAGAAGGGCAGGGGAGAGGGTGGGAGGCAGCACCAAGTGTGCTGCAGAGATTGGGACTGAAAAAGATGCAGATGAAAGCAAAGGTGATGAGAGCAGGACGGGGAGAGGTTGGGTGAATCGTGGTGCTTCCAAGGAAGGATTCCAGGTCGCCAGCTGGGAAGGTGACGTGGGGGAACAGTAGAAGAAAATTTACTGTAGATAAAATAATCCCTGGGGGAAAGAGAGGAAAGGAGATCCTGATAGGGGATATGAGGCCGTGGAGGCAGAGACAAGAAGAGCAGACGCGGAGTGGAAGAGAGCCCGGATGAATGAGTAAATCAGGAAGTGAAAAGGGAGAGACTGCTTGGCTGGGGAAGAAGGTCTCTTTGGGCAGAGACAGAAAGAACATTCACACTCACAGTCTGCCAGGCTGTAGCCATGGTAGCCATCCATTCCCTTGGTCTTTAGCTTGTGGGCCAGCTCACACTTGGAGAAGATTTTAGCCTCATATGCTGCACAGAAGCAGCTAAGAAGGGTGATGATCAGAATAGACCTCATTTCTGCAGCTGGTGGGGCTCAAGTCTGCTATGCCCAGGGGGCTGTTGTCTCTTATACCCTCTGGGCACGAAGGTATCTCTGATTGGGCAATAATGCTGGCATCTGTTCCAGGAAGGACATGGTTGTCCAAGGTTAGTTCCCCAAACTGGTCCAGCCAGTGTGAACCTCAGGGAAGGGACTGTAACCAAGAAAAATATCGGGAATAAAGTCTCATTTTGGTGGGGGTGGCTCCTGGTTTTGGGCAAATGTGTACAGGAGGGAAATGGTAGTTGGTAGGAGAAGGGAGCTGGTAGGAGAAAGGAGAAAGGAAGGGAGTTGGTAGGAGAAAGAAGTATGATTTTCAAACTTCATGCTTTTGTTGGAATGTCTCCAGAGGGGCTTGTCTCTGTGTTTTGCTGAACTTTGTTCATTATCTGTGCTTGGTTGAAGGTATTTTACCACTTAGGCTAGTGGGGGACCCGTAATGAGCACCACTGAGTTTGGAGAAATTGACGATCTCCTGGCATCTGCAATCAGTAAACTATCGGTTGGATAGGAGACCACTAGAACTCAAGTTCACGATATCTCTGTGTCTGCAAGAAACCATCAGATCTAAACCCCCAATTATACTGAATTGATCTATTATCTATGTGATCAGTGATCATCAAGCATCTTGTATTAGTGGGGTTCTCCAGAGAAATGGAACTAATAGGGGATATATATGGCTAGAAAAAGCTGGTAATTATTAGAGTACAAGATCTTGATTTCAGTTTGGTGGAGAGGCATTGTGAAGGAAGAGTTATCGCTAGATCAATACTTTCTAAGAAGACACACAAGAGTAATAATAGTGGTAGTGCTAGAAGGGGGTGTCTGTAGGTCTTAAAGTAACCGGTAAGCCTTTACTGTTAAAGGGCATCATATGATGTTGACTTGCAGACATAAAGGAATGGATACTAGGCATAACTTTTTTTTTGGGATTTTATTCATTTATTTGACAAACACACACACACAGAGACATTACAAGTAGGCAGAGAGGCAGGCAGAGGGAGAGGGGGTAGCAAGCTTCCTGCTGAGCAGAGAGCCCGATGGGGGGCTCAATCCCAGGACCCTGAGATCATGACCTGAGCTGAAGGCAGAGGCTTAACCCACTGAGCCACCCAGGCACCCCAGGAGGGCACTTGTGATGAGCACAAGTTGCTGTATGTAACCGATGAATCACTAAATTCTACTCCTGAAACCAATATTACACTGTATGTTAACTTATTGGAATTTAAATAAAAATTTGGAGAAAAAACAAAAACAAGAGCAACAACCAGAAAACCCCACACCACTGACTCTATTCCCTATACTTCCATACTGGAAGCCTGTCTCTCCCCCTTCCCGCTTTATCCGCTCTGCCCATCCCCCCACTCCTCTCCCCTCTGTTAACCATCAGTTTGTTCTCTGTATTTATGGGTCTGTTTTGGCTTTTTTGGTTTGCTCACTCATTTTTTTTTTAAGTCCACATATAAGTGAAATCATACGGTATTTGTCTTTCTCTCAGACCCTTAATATTTTAATATCCTCTAGTGTAAATTTATCTTCAAACTGGTGGTTTTTTGGCTACCTTTTGTAGAGTTAGGTTTTTCCCAAGTACTTTCTAATGTTGGGTCTCAGACTCATTTTGAGTGGGAGCCCACAGGTATGGCCTCTCAGTTCCTGGTCATGAAGCTCTGGGCTCTCTTGCCTCCTTAGATGTGCTCTGGGTTAGCTTTTTGCCTCAGATAGTAGCAGGCAGCAGGTTTTTTCCATTTCTCTTTAATGAAAAGAGGCCCTGTGCCCAGCCTTTCCCTTCGAGAGTGCCTTTGGCTCTGGCTCCTGCAGCAGGTGGAGAACTTTTCATCTCTGTGACCTGCAGGAGCTGAGCCCAGAGCTGCCTCTTCTTGCTTCGGCCTGGAATCAAGCCGGCCTTTGGCTTCGGCCCTACTCACTGCTTTTATGATTCATTTCCTTACCTTTGTGGCCCATGGAGATATTTATATTGTTTTGAGCTATCATATGCCTTTTACATTTCTTCCTTTTGCATTTTTTTCAATTATTGCTATGCGCTTGCCGCAGGTAGGATAGCTCAAAGCATGGAATTACCATGTAATATTGAACTGAAGTCCGATTAATAACTGAAACTTTTTTAAAAAACATGGAGTTTTAAAAAAATTTTTAATTTTTTAAATTTCTTTTCAGTGTACCAGAGCTCATTGTTTATGCACCACACCCAGTGCTCCATGCAAAACAAAACAAAACATGGAGTTTATTTTTTAAAAATTTATTTCTTATTTATTTACTTAATATTTTATTTATTTACTTAACAGAGAGAGACACAGTGAGAGAAGGAACACAAGCGGGGGAGTGGGAGAGGGAGAAGCAGACTTCCTGCTGAGCGGGGATCCCAATGTGGGGCTCCGTCCCAGGACTCTGGGATCATGACCTGAGCCAAAGGCAGATGCCTAATGACTGAGCCCCTTTACTTTTTATTTATTTATTTTTAGAGATTTTATTTATTTTATTGAGAGAGAGAGAGAAAGCATGAGCAGCGGGGAGGGGCAGAGGGAGAAGCAGACTCCTAGCTGAGCAGGGAGCCCGAAGTGGGGCTCAATCCCAGGACCCTGGGATCATGACCTGAGGGGAAGGCAGATACTTAATCAACTGAGCCATCCAGGCGCCCGTAATTGAAACATTAAAAAAAAAGTTATTTATTTATTAGAGAGAGAGAGAAACAGCAGCAGTGTGATCAGGGGGAGGAGCAGAGGAAGGAGGAGCAAACATCTCCAGCAGACTCCACACTGAGCACAGAGCCCATTGCTGGTCTTGATCCCATAACCTGAGATCATGGCTGGAGCCAAAACCAAGAATCAGACGCTTAACCATCTGAGCCACCCAGGTGCCCATGACTGACACATTTTAATGCAATCTATTTAAAAAAATATGCTTCCTTTTCATTAGGAACATAGGCATGTGGTCCCAGTGGAGGAATCTGGGAAAGTTTTCTGGAACCCTTCCTTTCTCCTTTGCTTCCCCTACTTCTTTCCTGTATTTTTGTTTTGTTTTTGTTTTTAAGATTTTATTTATTCATCCGAGAGAGAGAGAGAGAGAGAGAGAGAATGAGTTTGGAGGAGGGACAAGCAGACTCCCTATTCAGCAGGCATCAGGACTCTGGGATTATGACCTGGGCAGAAAGCAGCTGCTTAACCGCCTGAGCCACCCAGGTGTCCCCTTCTTCCCTTTCTTACCTCTCCCACTTGTGGCTTTTACTTTTCCTTCCATTATCCCTCTGCTTCCCCTGTTTTGTTGTTTCGTGTTCCCTGTCCCCCTTCTTCCTGCTTCTGTCCTCTTCCTCTTTTCTAGTTTCCTTCTCTGACTCTCTCCCCTCGGGTTTCTCCTCTGTTTTGGTCCAGTTTTCCTACAACCTGGCCTCCTTCCAGTGTTGTCTCAGTCTTTTAACCCCAGGGGATAAGAAGGAGCAGCTGTGGCTCATGTTTACAAGCAGGGAGGTTCAGGGGAAGGGTCAGCAATAGGACTGAAAGGAGAGAGTCTTCTGACTTTCCTTGAGGAAAAGGAGGGCGAGGGAGAATGTTAATGGTTTGTTAAAATGTGGCACAGACCAGTCGAAGCACAGAGACAGAGGGCTTTATGGTATGTACTTCATTTAATTTCCACAACAATCTTGTGAAGTATGTATGTATGTCTCTCTTTTTTTTTTTTCAAAGATTTTATTTATTTATTCGACAGAGAGATCATAAGTGGGCAGAGAGGCAGAGAGAGGAAGGGAAGCAGGCTCCCCACTGAGCAGAGAGCCCGATGCGGGGCTCAATCCCAGGACCCTGAGATCATGACCTGAGCTGAAGCCAGAGGCTTAACCCACTGAGCCACCCAGGTGCCCCTGTATGTATGTCTTATTATTCTCCCTTTCGTATTATACATCGGGAATCTGAGACTCAAGTTGTCCGAGCGAGAGTGTGGTCTAGTGCAGATCAGCATAGAAGGGTTTGCTGCTTTCCTCTCCTGCAGTACTGTGCGTGTTTGACTCTTGATTAAAATGGTGACACTTTTTTATTTTTTAATATTTTATTTATTTATTTGTCAGAGAGAGAGAGAGAGAGAGAGAACACAAGCAAGGGGAGAGGCAGGCAGAGGGACAAGCAGGCTCCCCCACTGAACAAGTAGCCTGATGTGGGACTTGATCCTAGAACCTTGGGATCATGACCTGAGCCAAAGGCAGACGCCTATCTGACTGAGCCACTCAGGTGCTCCAAAACAGTGACCCTTTAATAGGAATTTCTGGCTTTAGGGGTAGGCATGGGACTGCTTACGGCAGGGTGTGTCAGGTGATGGTGGTGATAGGGGTGAGGAGAAGGGCTTGGAACTTTCTCAAAACCCTGGAAATAATATCATAAAGGCAGCCACCTGCTTTGTGCAGGCCTCGGGACCCAGACCTCCCTGTTCGCCAGGACAGTTCCCAACCTGTCTGTAGACTGTTCTCAGTGCTTCTCACGCAGACAGTAAAAAACCCCTCTGGGCATGGTGGGAGGCAAGCACCCGAGGAAGCCGCTAGGTTCTTTGTTTGGGGAACCCGATGTGCATCATGTTCATTCAGACCTGGCCTTCCGTCCAAGACGCCGCTATAACACAGGATTTCACTTTTGACTTGAATGCAAAGAACAAACATCACAGAGACATTTTTAATACTCGTGTGCAGTCTGGGTTCTGCCTACTTCCCAAGCAATGTTTGGACAAGGCAATTTCCTTCCTTCCTTCCTTTCTTTTTTCCTTATTTATTTATTTATTTGAGAGAGAGAGAGAGTGAGAGAGAGTGTGAGCAGAGGAAGAGGGAGAGAGAGAATCCCAAGCAGACTTCTGCTGTGTGGAGCCCCACAGGGGGCTTGACCTCAATACCCTGAGATCATGACCTGAGCTGAAACCAAGAGTCAGATTTTTAAACGACTGAGCTACCGAGGTGCTCCCAGACAGGGAAATTTCCCATTTGTTTTTTCTTGCCCGTATTTCCACCCCACCCAGAAAGGGCCAGCTAT